CAAGAAAATGATTTGTTTCAAGTGGTGAAGGCTTGTGTCGGACCATCCACACTTTTTCGATCTGTCGATAAAACAAAACAGTAACGGTTTAAAAAACTTGCCACGGAAACTCCGAACAACAATCCTCCTGTGATTATCGCGGAGTTTAATCTCACTAAATTATCAATCGTTTGAAGGTTATTTAAAGTAAGAATATGTTTAGATTGTAAGAGATTTTCAGCTACTAATGGTTTAATGATACTAATTAACCCATAGCTTCGGGGAGTAGTAGATTCATACTGAATCAGAATTTGATCAACAAACAAGAAACTATGTGAATATAAAATGAGAGATCAATTCTATATTAAAAGTGACATATGAGATAATCCCTCACTTTATGGTCACTGTAGTTTCTATACATTTATATTCTAGAGAATGTAAATAAATCTAAAAGACATACCTGTGTAGTTAATAAGTATTTCATTAATTGATTAATTCGTTTTCACGGGCTTATTAACCCTGTGCTGGTTATTTAAAGGGAGAAAATATTTTCAGATTATAAAAGTTTTTTGTAGTTATACTTCTTTAGGGATATAAGTTTTACTAATTAACCCATATCTGGGGTTGAGAAGAGGTGGATTCATGCCTTTCCTTAATTTATTTACGCCTTTCTGAATATAACGAACCCAATGGGAATTGGAACTCGGATCTCCAGTTAATAATTCGGAGCCAAGATCCAGTGCATCACGCGCACATCTAAGCTTACAGCATCTGATATTCCCGAGTCGTTACCCACCTAGGTACTGACCAAGGAAAACGTTGCTTAACTTTGGCAATCATAGGGGAACCGGTGTTACAACGTTATGTAGCCATAAGATTCCAAAATCTGAGGAACTATCAGTATTTTTTGTGAATCCATTCTTATTTGAGCACTGCTTATATATATATATATATATATATATATATATATATATATATATATATATATATATATATATATATATGTACCTGAATGAAAGGAATGTATAAACATAAAAATGTACGACTTTGTTCATTTCATAATGTGTGACCTCATTTGTTTACATTTGGATACGCTTTGAGCAGATGTGAATGTACGTGAGAGATTCATGGAAGATTAAAGTTTAAAGACAGCAAAATCGACCTTGCTAACCGAACGCTCTTCTGTGGCCCAATCGGTTAAGGCACGTTAGGCTATATGACAGTTCCGTATAGCATACAGGTACGATTCCTCGGATATTCAGGCCGGTAAATGTTATTAATACTCTTTAATATAAAAAACAGTGCATTTACTTAAATATTTGTATCTATACAAAGAATGTATAAAAATGTCTTAAAATATAAAATTATTATTATTACAAAAACATGTTGAAATCGCTATACAAAAGCTTTCCTGTTTCAATACTTTGAGTGTACTTCTTCAGGCAATGGTAACAGGTCATTAAATGATTTTTAAGGAAATCCAAGTATTGAAACAAGAAAACTTTTGTGTAGCGAATTCAACATGTATTATTATAATCTTTTATAATAAAAATAATTTTAATATATTGCTCCACTTTGTACTGAGCATTTTTTTTAAAGTAACAGTGGCTTATTTTTTAATCCATCTGTTCTTTCTCTCATTTGTACATATATATATATATATATATATATATATATATATATATATATATATATATATATATCCAAATGTAAAAGAACATAAAATATGAATTCAATCGTTCATAAGGGCCCAATACACGAAGTAGAGCAATAAATATTTATTGTAAACTGTTACAATGCCACATGCAAGTTACCGCGACAAAAATGCCTATTTGTTTCCAAATATTCATATTTGTTTTGGAAATGAATATGCCTTTGTTCCATTGTCGTAGTTTATATATATATATATATATATATATATATATATAAACACCATTCTGGTCTTAAAAGTCATCGAAATCGAAGATACAAACACAATTATGCATCAAAGGGAGCACCTGCTGTTGAATGCTCACATGTCGAAAACGGATTAAAAAAAACTATGTAATTGAAGAATTTGTATGTAAATGAAAAACGTGTTTTCAATAAATAATAATTGCACATTTATTGATAATAATAATAATAATTATAATATTTATTGCGCTAGTTATTTATTGAGAACGTTTTTCATCTTTTCACCCAATGTAAGGCAACAATGTCACGAAGACGCATTGGGCTAGAGGGGTGTGAGAAATGAGAAGTCTTTTTAGGGTGAAGACGTGAGGAAAATGCAATAAGAGAACAGGACTCAGGAAGATGGCGATTAATATTGTAGATGTCTGGGAAGCAAGTAATTGGAAGTTTGATTGCCAAGTTCAATATATATATATATATATATATATATATATATTGAAATGTAATTTTGTTGAATGTAGGTTGCTTTGTTTTACTGTAGATGATCTCTAATATCTAGCTTCTTTTTTCTATATAGGTACTCTTTAAAGATATGTTTAGTGGTACCAAATTTTATCACTGCCAAAAACAGACAAAAATTAATTTTATTATTACCACTCATGATGATAATAAAAAAGTAAAAATGAAAAACGTGCTAGCTAACCGGTTTCGAACCTCGCTCAACAGAGCTAAATCGAGGTTAATAACGTAAATTATTTAAAAAAGAAAAAATTGACAAAGTGTATTGGGAAAAAAAAATAGATGGTAATTAGTTGGAGGCCTAATACAAAGTACTTCTGTTTACATAAAGAAGGTTTAATGATAGAATATAGATGGCCTCCAACAATTTTAGGTGGTAATTAGAGTGGGACCTGCTAAGGATGTTAAAAGAGTCCACACTAAAACTAACAGCGCAATTATGGCAATTTATAAGGTGTTCTGCAATGGAAGACACGTATGTATTGGTCAAAATGTCGGAGAGAGTGTACTTAAGGTTTCGGATTTTCGCTGGAACCTGTTGCTTTATTCTAACATCCAGCCTTTACATCGTTCTCCCTATGTAGTGCGAACCGCAACTACATTTAAAAGAATAAATTAGTGAACTATTATGGTGCGGTGGGAGAACATCCTTACGTATAGACGGAAGGACAGGCCTGGCAGAGAAAACAACACGGTAACAACGGCCGAAACGTTGTGAATATGACAATGAAAAATGAGGATAACAGTCCGAAAAAATATAAATAATGCAAGTAATCATAATACCTCATCTGAGATGAGGTATTATGATTACTTACATTATTTACATTATTCGGATTGTTATCCTCATCTTCATTGCCGTATTCACAACATTTCGGCCGTTCTACGCTCCGGCCTTCATGTCTATGTTTCTCTATATATCTGTCTATATCTCTGAGATGAGGTATTATGATTACTTGCATTATTTACATTATTCGGACTGTTATCCTCATCTTCATTGCCATATTCACAACATTTCGGCCGTTGTACTCTCCAGTCTTCTTCATGTGATTTAATTTCGAACCGAAACCATTATTTCGTCCTCCGGGGTAGATTGTTCTAGTTCCACGTGTCATGCCTTTTCTGGATGTCTGAGTTATTTCCCTTTAACTCAACTCTCCAAGTTTTTGGTTCACCACTGCTGTGGCCTGGTATTGAACTCACAACACTTTGGGCCTAGTCACTGGATGTAATCAACGTAATTTGAAAAATGTTATTAGGGAAAAATATCTGACGGATGAATAAATTAAAAAATCTTTCTCCATTCTTTACAAATTGCTTTGTTTATGTAAGGAGACGAAATTGAGTAGATATGTCTATTTCATGAGTAAGAGAAAAAAATCATGTGTTGAAAAGCACTATTCAGTTGTGCTTGGTCATCGATACACTTTGCGGCCGAGAGGACAAACGACGGCAGATCTCATGACGGTTTCCTTCAAGGAGAATGCGGGTTCGAATCCTACCGGCGATAACATATTTTTCTCCTATAAGAATTCTCGAATATTCAGGCCGGTAGATGAAAATAAATGAATATGCGTTTTAATAAATAAACGGAGCGTCTACTCAAATACGTGTTCCCGCTAAAAATAAGGTTTAAATAATAATAAAAAAAAAATTCATACATATATTTCGGCTTTAAATAATCTACAAAGATTAGATAATCCGTAAAAAAATTAAATCATGCCAAATAACGTTAGTGTATGGTTTCCTGAACACTACAATCTTAATCTCTTCAAGCCAAAGGATAATCGATGTCTATCTTTCCTATCCTCATAATCTTAATTTCCTATCACATTCTCTTATTCATATCTCACATCTAATATAACTATTTTATCAATAATACTCTACCTTGAGTTTCTCTCGAGCCTTGTAATAAGTGGACTTTAGTATTAATAAAATCAAAGAACCCACTTTTCTCCTCTTTCGTTAAGTGGTTCTAATCCTTAGTTAGCAACAGTGTATTTATCTTGTTCTTTTCCTATTCTTGTATTAAGACCCGTAATAAAAATCATTTCTTGTTGCGCTGGTATTTGGAAATTTCTAGCTTGTCAGAAGGAGCTAAATATTTCCAGGGGCTACTACTTTGAAGAATAGATTCCAGTGTAGATACTTCCTGAATACTACACTCTTAACCCATTCAAGTCCAGACCCAATCGTTATCAATCTCCCATATCCTCATAATTTCACTTCCTACTTCCTTCTGCTATGTATATGATACACGCATTCAGTAATTTTCTATCTTGAAGGGCTCTTGATTTTTAGAGTTAGTGAATATTAAAAAAAAAAACAACAGGATCTTTATGGATATAAAGTAGGTATTCGGTTTTCCATTGTTATGTAAGAATCTCTTTTCCCAGGACTACAGTAATATCATAATTGGACAAATGTATTCAAAACCTCACGTGTGCAGCGTTCTAATAATAATAAGTAAATATGACGTCATTTTAACTGCATAGGTAAACACCTATTCATATATTAACTTTCTTTTCCCATGATTCATGAGATAATAATGCGATTAATAGAACGGAAATTCGGTGTATTTTTGAGTTTCAAATCAAATAAATGAGGCGGCCATGTTTTTTTTTTCTTCTTTCACAGATGCGTGTCTACCTATGCATGTGTTTTATTCCTTTGTTCTCATTTCTCTTTCTTCTGTTCTGTCAGATTCTTTATAATTGGATCGAAAATAAACAAACTTATATCTTCATTGGTGTAGAGAAATGGCAAGAACTTTTGCCTCCATGAGTTGGATGGATTCATCTCCAAAGAAGAAACAAAATTATTTCGCAAGAGATTGCACAACAGGATCAGAAATATATATATAATTTTGCTTTGTTTTTTTTTTCATATTTGTGTTTATCAAAAGATATTTTGTTTTTTACCTTTATTCCAAATCTAATTTCATATACACATATAAAATTTTCATATTACTATAAACGTTATATTTAGTGGGCTTCGTGTTTAATTTGACTTCCGTCTTTTTTAAAGTGATATGTATATCAAATAGCCGAGATCATAACAGCATACGAAAAATGTGACTCCCTATAGGAAACGAACTTGCATCCTCTTTTTTTATCTAGTAACACTACTCCTATATCCGTAACGTTTCGTTACTAATTTGGTCACGGTAAGCCCTATTGCCAAGCCAAAGCTCAATTACCTATTTAAGGATCGGACATGTCTCGTTGATATTTTTTCGAATTGCTGGATGTATTTCCCTCATTCGAAGGATTTCTCGATCTAGGCTAGTTGATATTAATTTCGCTACTCATGGAAAAAACAAAAAACAGAAGTAAAAAAACGCGGATGTCAAATCAAACACGTGTGACTAACAAACTAACGTTTATAGTAATAAGAAATGATGCCCCATTTAAAATATACATTTAAAAATGACATTTAAAGGTTATCCATGACTCCATTATTATTATTATTATTATTATTATTATTATTATTATTAGGTTGTAACAAAAGTATTACCGTTTTTTTTTTACATATCATTATCCTAGAGATTATTTTATGTACACCACTAAAAACTATAACGCCAATATATTATTAATATATATTAGAGTGTATGAAATTTATTTTCGTTTTTTTACAAACCTTTACTTCTAATATTATTTCATATACACCACTAAAAACTATAACGCCAATATATCATTAATATATATTAGAGTGTATGAAATCTATTTTCGTTTTTTACAAATCTTTACTTCTGATATTATTTCATATACACATACAAAGACTAGCAATGATTTCACAGTATTATTATATATTCTAGTGGTACCCATGAAAATTTCATGGTTTTCCTTTTTGAATTTTCTGGTTAATCTTCATAGATCAGATTTGTTTGTTTTTCTTTCTTTCTTTCTTTCTTTTTTCATTCATTCTTTCTTTCTTTCTTTTTTCTTCCTTTCATTAAATATTTGAGATTAAAAGCTAAGAAAGTATTGTAATAACAGTTGTAAATATGGACGCTGGTCAACATCTAAAGGAATGAGAATCGTACAAATGAAAATATTTGAAATTATTGAAACAAGTTTTTCGATTTCACTGAAAACGTTCAGCGCCAGGGAACGTTATCCTCTCTCTATTGTCTTATTCTTTCTTTATTTCTCTTTCTCTTTCTCTTTTTCTTCCTTTTTTTCTTTATATTTCCTTTCTTTTTTCTTTTCTTTTTCCTTTCTTTTCTATCTTATTTCTTTCTTTTCCTTTCTTTCGTTTTTCTTTCTTTCTTCCTTTTCTTTCTTTCTTCCTTTCTTTCTTTCTTTCGTTTTCTCGTTCTTTCATTCTTTGTCTTTCTTTTTCTTCCTTTATCTCTTTCTTTCTTTTCTTTCGTTTTCTTTCTTTTTTCTTTGTTTCATTTTCTTTATTTTTCTTTTCTTTCTTTCTTTCTTTCATTTTCTTTATTTTTTTCTTTCTTTTTTCTTTATTTCTTTTTTCTTTTTCTTTCATTCTTTTCTTTCTTTTTCTTTTTTCTTTTTTCTTTCTTTCTTTTTTCTTTAATTATTCAATCTTCTCTTTCTTTCTATTTCTTTATTTCTCTTTCTTTTTTTCTATCTTCTATTTTTCTTTTTGTCCTTTCTTTTTCTAGATTTTATTAAATTCATCTTCCTTTTTTTCAGTCGCTTATTTCCTTCTCCCATATAATGCTTACGAATCCCTTAGATTTCGACACTGAGGCTGTGAGGGGGTTAAATATTAATTCTAAGCAGAAAAGAGTTAAGCTCAAAATGAAATATAAAATGAAAGATAGAGAGATAGAAAGACAGAATGGAAGACATTTTCTCTGTTCATGTGAAAGTAAAGAAAGGACCATCTGTGTTGCCTCAACCCTACGAACAGGAACGACACACCGAGGTTTTACTTTTTTTTTGCCTATCCAAATTTTTTTTTTTTTCCAATTTTTAGTCGTTCACCTTCCAACACCTTAGAAGACGTCAAATTTACCGACAGATATATGCATACATTTCTGATTAAAACACTTCAAACTATCTATTGTTAAAGTTTAAAATTACTTAATCTCCCTCCCTCCCTCACTTTCTCTAGAAGCATAACGAGAAAAGATGTTAAAAGCTAGAATTTGTAACTCTCCACAACCCTAATCTTGGCAAACAACTATCCCTAAACTTTGGCTTGAAAAATCCCTTTAGTATGAATATAAACAGTAGTGAGTGACGCTACGCCTAGAGTGGGAAATGTCACGTCGGGAATGGAAGATTCGACGCCTTCCAAATCATCTGAAACCCTGAGCGAGCTAAGACTCAAAGAAGCGGCTGTGAAACCAACTCTTCAACGAAGCCTTGACAACCAAATTGTCGTTTTCACTAAACTACTAGATTTCATCATTGATACAAAGTGCAGCAGAAATACCTCACACGTATACCTCTGGATTTGAGGTGTTGAATATAACATTAATCAGCAAAGTGACAAGTTTTATTTGTATTCATTACACACACACACACACACACACACATATATATATATATATATATATTATAGTAAAAAGAAAGAACAGTAAGATATATAATCCGGTGTTCTTATTGATATTTTTATTTTTATAAAACAGTGCTCAATGTAAATTTACAGAGCATAATTATTACAAATTAACTGATTTAAAATATGGTATCTTCGTTACACATGATTTACCATGTTTCAAAAACCGAAGCTAAAATCTATAAATTTAATTATATAATTAATTTTAATTAAATTAATTTTAGTTTAATTATATAATTAAATTTGAAGTTTTTAGCTTCACTTTTGTGAAACATGGTAATTCCTATATATATATATATATATATATATATATATATATATATATATATATATATTATGTCTCGAAAAAGTTATATATTTGTTCGAAGTAGCAAAATGGTTTTGGACTACTGTAACCGAGTAGGACAATCTAGCAGGTAACCGTAATCGACTGGTCCTCGTCGTAGTGGTAGGCAATAGGCGAAGACAATAGGCTTAGTCAATAGGCGTCGTCAGTATATGTCGTACCTGTACCTCTACATTAGTCTGTATTTACAGCTGACACCAGCCAATCATATTACTGTGAGGGGGAACCCAGGTGTATGCATATTCCTTACATCAATATATATATATATATATATATATATATATATATATATATTGAGTTGTCCGGAGAGTCCCTGCTTATTTTTAGTCGTTCACCTTCCAACACCTTAGAAGACGTCAAATTTATCGACAGATATAATATCGTTATATTTCTGATTAAAGCTTACTTCAAACTATCTCTTAATAAAGAAAGTTTAAAATGACTTAATTCGTCTCAATTTTGCATCCCTAGGAAAATGGATGATTATAAAGTGTGATTCAGAGAGTTGATGCTCTTTTTTTTACCGTAAAGCTAAAATGCCTCGCAAGCAACAATAATATGTGCTGTGTAAGCTGAAGGTGCATTAGCTGAAAGAAATGTACAGAAGTTTAGAACTGGTTGTTGAAGCCTTATTGATGAAGAACGTTCAGGCAGACACCCCACTATAGATGACGACCAAATCAAGACATTGATTGAGATTGAATCGTATTACACAACGCATGAATTGGAAGAAACCCAAAATTTATCAAAATCTGTCATCCATGAGGTTTTAGTGAATGTTGGTTAATCAGGATATTAGTGAGCACCTCAGTGTGAAAAGAAACTTTTTGGTCGCATTTCATACTGGGGTTGCTGTATAAACGTAATGTACATGCACCCTTTTTAAGCAAATTGTGATGGGAGATGAGAAATGTATCATTTAAAACAATGTTCAGCGAAAAAGATCCTGGGGTAAGCGATACGAGCTTATTTTAACCATTTAAAAAGAAAGTCTTCATTTTAAGAAAGTCATGCTGTTCATCTGGTGTGATTGGAAAGGAATTCTGTACAATTAGCTTCTGCCAAGTATCCAGTCAACTGATTCCGAAAAGTCCTGCTCGTAACTGGATGAATTAAAAGCAGCAATTCAAGAGAAACGACCAGAATTGCTGAACAGGAAAGGTGTTGTTTCTTTGGCGACCACGTAAAAATTATTGCATCTTGTTAAACCACCCGCCATATTCACTAAACATTACTTCTTCAGATTCTCATTTATTCGGGTCCTTGCAAAATAATCTCAGTATTAAAAATTTTAATTCTTTGGATGACATAAAAATTACCTTTTTGGGTTCTTTGCCTAAAAATCACCGAAATTCTGGGAAGATGGAAGTTGAAAGAAAAAATAGAGAAAGGTTTCGCAACAAAATGGTTCATATTTAGTTGAATAAATATTTAATGGCATAATTTAGCTTTGTCTTTTAATTTCTCTTAAAAATCGGCATGAACTTTCCGGACAACCCAATTTTCGTGAGCGAAAACGAATTGAGTAATGAAAACAGAATGAAGTCGCTGTGACGGTTAGGATTATGAAAATTGATCCATCATGACAGGCAGGTGATCTGCATTATGTTTTCTTTAAGACAGCGTACCCCTTCGTTGAGAATTTAGATTAACAAAAAAAACATTTTCATTGACAAAAAACGAATTGGGAAATAAACTTTAACTATCGCTCCAAAGGTCAAAATGAGAACGTGATCTGGTTTATGATTTCGCTGGACAGGTGGGTCCAGGAAAAGAGTCAGAGAATTTAAACTAATGAGACGAATAGACCACGCCCTTTCTCCCACGCACCTTGAAATTAGATTTGTTACAAAGACAGTTATGCCATCCTGAGAAGTGGGCAGTGTTATAATAACAAGAAGAAAGGAGGAAAGTTCAGAATGTAGCCCCTCCTGTGCGAAGTAGCGGTACGAGATGCGAAGGGAAGCAGGTTGGAGTTAAAGGAAAAGAAATCCTTGTGACTACTCCCAAGGAAGGTAGATAATTCTCTAAATTTAGAAAGTTTATTAAGAAAGCATAAATAGGAAACAAGGAAAACCTTTATTGGAATAATGAAAATTAAGGAATCACCAAATCCTCAAAACCTTTCGGCCCCACGCCAATTTTGGACCGAAGTGCATATAAGCAGATTACTTTGGGTGCTGAAATGATGTGGGAAGGGTTAATTTTTGTTGTATTAAGAGCTATAAAATCCAGTTGAATATTAAGACCACGAATCATCTTGTTTTATTTTTCGTAGTGAAGCTAATTTTCTCCTTTAATGTAGCACCTGCCAGGGCTTGAACTAGCGCTCCGATTACGACGACCTTCAATCTTCCACTATTCTATCATCAAGAAGATAGTATGGGTTAAGTCTTGTTGGATTGAAGCGGTCAGGGACCAACAACCAGCTTGGAACAGCGTCAGCATCGACCAGCGCAGAGTTAGCCCTGTAATTAAAACGTCGTCCTAAACTTCTGAAGACCGGACCAGTATAAATGGTTACACCACCGGTTGTAGGCGCCGGTGAAATGTGTTATAATATTATTAATATCATTACTATGTATAAGGATGTACCCAATGTATTTGCTCTTGTCGGAACGACTATAATATTTTGAATAAACATTTCTTTTTTTTTCAAATAACCTCGATATTTTTCTAAAATCTTTTTTCTTCTTCGTTGGTTCGTTAATTTTGTTTAGCGGCATATAAGCCTCTATGGGTTATTTAATGCTAAAGTCTACAGATAAAATGTATGGTTGACCATTTTGTTATAAAATGCATTGCCGGTAATTTTACTATAAATAGGTGTTGGTATTGATACCACGCAGGGTCAGAACTGACCTGAAAACAACAGCAATAAAGAGGTGGTTCCAAGTTCCTCAAAACATCCGATATCCTGATCAGATTACTTGTTGCCGGCTGTAGTTTATCGTCCTACCCAGGACTAATTCGTATTAGTAGTAGTAGTCGTTATTATTATTATTATTAGTGGTAGTAGTAGTATTGGTAGTAGCAGTGTGACACTAGCTATGGTAATTAATTAACTAATTAGTCATAAAAATTGAACGAGAAAAAGCTGAAAACAGAAAAGAAAAGTTACACGACATAACGAGGTATATAAGATTTTTTTTCTCAAAAAGTTAAGAAACCGAAGAATTGTGTCAACGATAATTTCACGAAAAGGCAATGTGGCGATCTCTGGCTTAATGATGGTCGTTAAAAGTGCTGGTTAATAAAACCAAAATAAACAGAATCGACGAACATATCGTCTGAGAGTGAATAGATATTGTGTACACAGGTAATGTGACCAAGGAAATGCTCAGACGAGAGGGCCATGCGTCAATTGTAGGAATTTTGGCAGGACGCGAAAGAAAACAAATTTCCAGTTGATAATTCTAAACTGGTCATGGGAAGAGGATAAGAAATTCTAAATAAGCAGTGGTGTCAAAGAGTTAACTAATGAAGCAAGCTTAGCTACACCAACACGATCGAGACGCCATTGGTCGTGTAGTAGCAGTGGTGATAGGCGCAGGTAAAAAAATAAGAAAGATGGAGAAGTTATTAACGCCCGACGAAAGGTATGAGGAGATCGTTTAGGAGGATAGCTATCCTGCAACCTCTCCTCACAAACGAAGGGATCCCC